TCTTGCCAGAAGGTAGAGAGAGCTCGGAAGTGTTGACTCATCTCTCCCTGTATGTTAGTAGGTAATTCATGTAATGGAAGAAAATATCCCACACAAACATCTGGTTTTCCTGAATGGCACGTTCAGGAAAGAGTTTAGCAGGGTATGCCCAGCCAGCATGGCTCAGTGTTTGAGCATCGACCCATGAACCAGGATATCACGGTTCAATTCCCGTTCAGGGCATATGCCCGGGTTGTGGGCTCAATCCCGATGCAGAAGGCAGCCAATCGATGATTCTGTCTCATCATTGATGTTTCTATCTCTTTCTCCCTCTCCCTTCCTCTCTGAAAAAATAAATAAATAAAAATATATTTTTTAAAAAGATTAGAGCAGTATAAAGGGGCTCGGTGGGGGCAGTGTCAGTATTAAATAGGGAGGTTGGGTCGGCCTCCTGAGAACAGAGCAGGAGGAGGGCAGGGGGCTGGCCACACAGCTTTTTGGGAAAATGTGCACCTGCCCAGAGAACACATAGCACAAAGGCCCTGGCGAGGGGAGCAGGCTGTGTACCTTTCGTCAGGCTCAAGGCCTTAAACCATTCTCCTAGAAAACTTACTGCCATGACCCTACTTCTTTTAGTGTTCAGGGCCTTAAGGACAGTAGCCTTAGTAGACGGGCTGAGGTACGTAATCAGAGAAGGTTGGCGCTGGAAGGCACATTCTCTTCTTTTTATCAGAAATTCAGGGAAATGAATTCCACGCTGAAAGATATGGCAGAGATGGGACCAGACTGCAGGTCCCTTCCTGCTCAATAGTGTTAGATTTTTCTGGGCAGTTTGTTTGAGACTAACCCTCAGAAGGCACAGCCTGAATCAGGTTGGGGTGGGGGGTTTGGGGGGCAGTAGGGTGGTGGAAGTGGTGGGCATGGAGGATTTCCATCTTCCCCCAGGGTTCCTGGCTGCCTTTGGCTTTCTTCCTGCCTAGTCCCACCCCCGGGGTCTCTCCCTCTTCTTTGCTGCTAATGATGGGAGCCTTAGAGAGTGGCTGTCAGGCAGAGTGATGATTCTAGAAGACAATATACAGTTTATCAATATTGGATTTTGTAGCTTGCCTCTGCTGCCACCATTGTGGGGAGCCGGCCAGGCTTGGCAATGTTATTTGATAATAGAATCATCATCATTTATATTGCCGCTCTGGAGGGCCTCTGCTACTGACAGCAGCCCAGGGCCTGGGTGTTGGAGAGAGAAAGGGGCTCTACAAGGGAAAGTTAACTGGGTTGGAATCCATGACCCTGTTAATCTGGACTTTGGCCTCTCTTACTGACCACTGAGAGGGGATAATTTATCAAAGGTGTCGCCCAAGGATAAAAGCAGCTCTAAAATGCTTTATTTCTGTGTCCTGTGAGAACATCCAGGTGTTACCTCTTACTCTCTGGTTGGATAGCTGACTCCACTTTGCCCCCTCTATCAGATGGTTCCTCAGCCAGAGGAGTGGCCAGCAGGGTTCCACTCTGAAGCGGCTCTGCCATCCCAATGCCATAGAGCTGTCCCATCAGGCACATGGAGAGAAGGGGAGATGGGGTCCTGGGCATTTATAGACGTGTAGAGCTCTGGGGGACCTCATCATTCCCAGAAATTTGGATGTGGAGCTCTTTGGCAAATCAATATTGTATTTCAACTATTCTCTTTATACTTACTAGAGGCCCGGTGCATGAATTCGTGCACGGGTGGGGTCCCTCTGCCTGGCTGGCAATCGGGGGCCAATTGGGGCCGGTTGGCCAGGGGAGGTTGGCTATGGGAGCGCACTGACTACCGGGGGCAGCTCCTGCATTGAGTGCCTGCCCCCTGGTAGTCAGTGCATGTCATAGCTACTGGTTGACCGGTTGTAATGGTCGCTTAGGCATTATATATATGTAATTTCAGAGAGGGAAGGGAGAGAGAGAGAGAGAAACATCAATGAGAGAGAATCATTGATTGGCTGCCTCCTGCACACCCCACACTGGGCTATTAAACCCGCAACCCAGGCATGTGCCCTTGACCAGAATAGAACCCAGGACCCTTCAGTCTGCAGGCTGATGCTCTATCTACTGAGCCAAACCAGCGAGGGCAAAACTATTCTCTCTTTTAAATGGTGTGGCCAATTATCTTGTGAAGAGTCATCATTCTTGTGAAGTTGTGGCAGGTTTGTGTACTGGGATGGTGGGTGTGAAGTGGTGTAGGCTCACACAGTAGGATCCAGAAAGCAAAAGCAATTGAATAATGTTCTTTAACCTTTGAAATGAGCTAGACTCCACCTGTCTCCATTGTTCTCCAGCTCTCTGAATGGCATGAATGGCATCGGGAGAAAAGATGGCCTCAGGCTGTGGCAGGAAAATGGATGTTTAGCAGCTCAGGGAGGCTGGCGCCTGGCAGGTCTCTGAGGCTAGCTCCCCAGTCTCACTCTTGTGAGTCACCTGTGCCTACAAGCCTATCCTCTTGAGAATTCTGCTCGAGCAGTTAAGCGGCCTCGGGCACTCCAGATTCCAGATGCCAAAAAGGGGATAGGAAAGGGAAAGTCTAGAAATCAGCGGAGTTGGCTCATGAGGCTTTTGGAGTTCCCTGAACGGAATGGGTTGAGTTTGTAATGGGAGTACAAGTCTGGGTTGATAGCAATGATACATACTGGGAGCAGGGTCATCCTAGAAGAGAGAGCGGAGCTGCATTAGAACTGAAGTTCTGAATCCAGATATCAGGGACACTTGGGGAGATTTTGTGAAACGCCTGCCCCCTTCTCTGTGTACACCCACAGGGAGCACAGAAAAGACTCCAGCGGCAGGTCGATGCCTCAGGCTTCCAAAGGTGGTGAGGCAAAGGGCAGGAATGGAAAAGGCAAGGCCCAGCCTTAGTCGGCAGAGGGAACGGGGTCTCCAGAAGGCTCTTTAAGAGCCAGTGTAACTGATAAACCCCGTGCTGGCTTTGTCCTGGAGTTTTTTTTTTTTTTTTAAATATATTTTATTGAGTTTTTACAGAGAGGAAGAGAGAGAGATAGAGAGTCAGAAACATCGATGAGAGAGAAACATCGACCAGCTGCCTCCTGCACACTCACAGAGCTGGGCTAGAGGTCAGGAAGTCTTGGCCCTAATGGCAGTGCTGTCATCTAGTGGCTCTGTGTCCTTGGACACATCCCTTCGCCGCTCTGAGCCTCAGTTGCTTCTACTGTGAAATTGGCGGTTGCCAAGGTCTCTTCCCAGCTCTGAGAGTGTCGGTCTGTGCTTCTAAGCACAGGTCTGGTTTCCCCGCCGGGAGCTAGTTTGGTGCCTTCCTGCATTACAGTCGGTAATGTCCCTTTGCTCATGAAGCATTAGATTCAGCTGACCTGGGCCAGCTCCTCTGTCTGCCAGCTTCCAGGCCAGAACCACCCTGATCACTCAGGAGAGCTGTCCTCGTAGCAGAACACTGCTTCTGTGGGAATAGAATTAATTAAATTAGAAATTTATCAAATGAGGGTTCCGTGGCCCAGTGACTTTGAGAATCAGTGGGTTAAACACACTTAACCCACTTTTCTTTCTTTTTCTACAACACTTCTCAGAGCCTTTAACACACCAATACGCATTTTGAAACTCAAGAGATGGAATACACAGTATTTCCCAAATTAATTTGATCGTGGGATCCATTTTTCTGAGGAGCATCTCATCAGAAGCGTGTTTCATAGGGCACCTCCCAAAATAAGTTTTACTCTCCTGGTACCTCACTTGCTTGAAAAATAACTCACTTTTCCTGAAGTTCTTGGCCTTCTAGCTGAGGTAGGAGTGTCCACTTCTCCTACTCTGGAGTCCCAGGGGCAGACTTCTTTACTCACCGCCTTCCTGGGCAGCCACAGGCCTTGTCAGTGATTTTCTAATTGTTATTGAGTCCTTATTGAATTGATACCTGTCATGGTTCCCCATGTTGATCCCCCGTGTCTCTCCGCAGCAGATGCTCACAGAATGCCCTCTTCACCTTTGCAAAGGGGGAGCGACGGGCCAGGCAATGGGCTTCTGTGAGCCGGGACCCTTCTCCTGTGACCTGGGCTGAGAGTCACTGTGGCTGGATTGATGGAGATTAGCTGCTGTCTCTCTGGCTCGGGGTTGTTTTCTATGAGAGACAGGAAAAAAGCTGCCAGAGCTCCCCACCCTACGAATATATCCTTTTCCAGGTGGGGCCAGGAGGGAGGTGAGCTTGGGGAGCAGGAATTGGCTGTATCTTCTTTGGGCGGGAAAGGCTGGGTTGCACTCATTTGGACTCAGGCAGTTTTTACCGTTTTCCATGCCCCTGCCTTGACATGTCTTTCTCCTTCGTTCTTTTGGGTTCTTTCTATCTCTTCCTCTTCTCCTCAGCAGACAGGCTCTCCCTCCTCCCCCATCCCAATCTCCTCTTTACATACCCTCTATGTGCACCACCTCCCCCCCCCCCCCCAAGCCTGGCAGCCTGCCCTTTAGGAATGTTAATTAGCATTCTCGATTTAATTAATTCAGTAGCTAATTAATGATTGGGGACTGGGGGTGGGGAGCTGGGGTGCAGGGGAGTTGGGGGCTGGAGGTGGCAGGGAGAAATAGCGGAGACTGCAGAAGGCATCGCAGATGGCTGTGCGGTGGCTGGCACGGTGCCCACCGCTATGGATGCAAACACAGGCACGCGCGCGCACACACACACACGCACACGCACACACACACACACACAAAAAGGAAAAAGTGATCGAGGAATAAAATCAAAAGCAGGGAGAGAAGGGCACAGGGGCCCTGGGAACTGGGGGTGGGGAGGCTCTAGATCTATTTGAATCTGCTCCGGAAGTGGAAGAGGAGGAAAAAAAGAAGCCACCACAGGCGCAGAGAGAAGAGCGC